CGACAAACTTGATATAACTTTGTTACTTTAGAGTTAATCATATCTACACTTGCGTACAAAAAAACTACCTATATAGCAATTATAGGTAATATAAAGAATATGCTATACTCATAGTTAACTATAATAATGAATAACATAATTTATTAATATACTCCATACAAGGTATTATAGGTAGTATGTACCTATAAATATTCCATTATAATATTAATCAGGAATTGTTTCTTTTCTAGGTACATGACTGATACTAGTAATTTTTTCCCACGACTTTATTTTAATAAATGCTATTTATATATACTTTTTTAAATATACGGCCATAGGCGATAGGTGATTCTCGAAAGTCCAGGAAGGAATGAAAAAACTTAAAATATATAATATATATATATATATATATATATCTAAATATGTTTACTGTTGATATAGGACCACGATCAGTAACTATATTATAGGTATACTCAGGGCCGATTTCACCAATACAGTTAATCACGGTTAAACTTCGATTACCTACGCATAATCAGCTGATTACGTATATTTAACCGTCCAAATTCGGTCGGTTAAACTCCGGTTAACTTTAACAGTGATTAGCTTTGATGATGAAATAGGTCCTTATAAAATTATATACACTTTTATTATATAGTTATTAAAATAACCTACCTTTAAATATGATAAATGTTATCCTGTACCCATATAATGCTGATAGAAAATGACTTATAAGTTTATTGATAATTATCAGCTAACTTATTTGTGGCTTAGAAGTTTATATCACCACATAAATATACAGTAGGTATTTACACATTAATGTTTTACACATTTTATTACCATATTATGTAAGAATATAATTTACATACCTTAACATACAGTAAATATCGAAGCATATTACGTTCAACCAGCACATGTTGTCAGAGTTGCAAATAAACATAAAATAACCTAAAATATAGTTTCAAACAAACAAAAAGAATAATTAATAGTAAATATAATGTGGAGCCAATACAATTAGACAAATAATAACGGAAATATTTATATTTGTTGTCGCTTAGTTTTTAGATGCATGGACAAGTAGTTGCGTGAAGTTGCCCCCTCCCTACATTAATATTTTCACTGTGACTAAGGATTTCTAATATTTTCCATTTGTCATTGAAAACAATATATTAAGAGCCTGATATTAATTATCAAGCTTTTTTACCCAACACATAAAATTTAAAAGAAACTAAAGAATAAAAACTAAAAAATGGAAAACTGAAAATATACTTAAACAGCTCAAAATAAAATATTAAAATGGTATGGTGTATAGAAAATGCGAATATAAAACATTCAGTCGAAAATTGCATGTTTTCTTACAGTCATTCGCTTTAGAGTTACGCCAAAAACCAAAGTTGATTTTGCAATATTGTCGAAAATCGATTTCACCGTAAAAATTCCCGTTTTTCCTGTATTGTTAATTTATATTATCACGACACTTTTGAAAACTACTGGACAATTTTTACTTTTGACTCTCCAAAGTACCAACTAGATTCACTTTCTTGTCAGAAAAGATACTGTTGAAGAAAATAAGCACTTTTACTGTCTTAAACGGTGATTCTTTTTTTTGAATGCCATAATATTATTTGTTGGCTAAAAAAGCTTGAAAATTTAGTACAGGGTTTCTAATATATTGATTCGATGGCGTTTGAAAATATTAAAAGTCCTGAGTCACAGTTTTTTTTTACAATTCTTTAAAATTCAAATCTTAACAAAATAGGTAAAATCATTGAAATTATTTTTAACTGAGAATTTATAATTTTTTTTTTTAAGTCTTAAATTTGAAAAATGTAATACAAGATTCCTCATAAGTTTGTATACCTTTATATAAAAAAAAAAAAACAGGTAAGACCTACCGATTGGAATGCACAACGTGTTTTTTCTGTCTTCCTGTACCAATAACGAATAGATCATTATGCAGACCAAGTACACGAGGTGGCAGGCCATGTAGAACATGACGTAGTAGCCGTGGGTATTCCGGAGGTAAGGTAGTGTGGCGTACACGATCAGCGTGAGCACCAGGCACACGACAGACAGGGTTTTAACCCAAAAGAGGAAACTGACCGGTGGTTTGGCCTCTGAGCACACCAACGCCATCAGATCGGCGGCCTCCAGTGTCCCGTCCTTGGCGTAATAGTCCAAGCAGTACTTCGTTTCCGGTATGATCCATTTGACGCCTTCGTGGATAAGGAAAAGGTTGCCATCAGTGGTCAACGTGAGCCTGCTGATTATCATATTCAAAGCAGTACACGAGGATTTGTCCCAGTTCAACGGTAGCACCGTCTTGTTCGACAGGCCAGCCGGACTTCCGCCTGCGTCTGTTTCATAGGCGGAAAACTTGAACGGCATCTCGCTTTCTTCGCACCTCAATTTTCCCCTAAAATATCCAATTCTTCGTATTACACGAATAGTCTTAAATCGGTTAAATCTAAATAAAAATCAATGCTCTAAAAACCAGCACCAATTATACTTCTTCAACTAATAACACATGATATAAATTAAATAACTTTATACCTATACATTTATTATTTCACTACTGAGAACAAAATTAAATTATTTTTAATTAATTTATATATTGATTTACTCAACATTAATAGCTACATGTTCAGCAATTATTTTTACTAGGATTAATTGAAGTTACCAAAAAAACATAACACCAGTCAATGAATAATATAAATTTACAATCAATTACTTTAATGTTGCTAATTTAATAAATCAGTGATTTTTTTTTAGTGTACAATATACATATAAATAAGAATATATAATATTTAAAATAAATAAATACATTTAAATTATCCTAAGTATGCAAATTTTTTGTAATATAAAGTTTCCTTAAATAGAAGTTTCTTAAAGGGAGGTAGGTATTTGAGCCCACAATAAGCCATAAGTAGTATTTACCAATTACTTTTATTAAACATATATTAAATGGGGGGGGCTTAGTGCCCTCAAAATCACTTAATGCCCCCTCAAAAAATAATAACATAATATATATTATAATAAAAAAAAAAAATTTAAGCCCCTAAACTTTTTTCCTATTTGCACCACTGAGTGACACCGCTATGTGTTATAAAATGGCTACTCTCAATAACAATGAAATACGAATAATAATATCTAATAATTAGTAACAACACAAAATATTGTTAAATGCGTAGGTACCTCATATTTACTGTGTGTGTAGAATGTAGACAATAATTAAAATGTAGTTTGATAAAAATTAAAAAACCATTAAAATATAAATATAAATGTGGACCTCTAAAACTATACACAATATTATAATATAAGGGATTAATTTGAATAACACACTTTTAAATTTCGTACTACACACTTCAATTTTCATACTGCACAAGGTGTGTGGTACTACATACAATTGTAGGGACTGATCTCAACTCACTGTTGTACCTAGGCTATATTAAACTCGTTAGTGTAATTATAGGGGAGAGAATGCTCCGGTGCAAAGTAACATTAATTTATAATTGTATTTATAATGGCGATGGCAATGGCTATTTCAATTGTTTCTTTTTACAAGATTTAAGAAACATTTAATTAATACGTTGTCATTATTACCTAGGCCCGTCTCAATAGGGGGGGGGGGGGGGGGGGGTAAAGGTACCACCAGTCCGGCCAAAAGACCCGACTACGGAACAATTGTAAATAGAGCTAGTTAAAATCAAAAAGGAATTATAATAACTAATCAGTAATGAAGGATACTATATTAAAAGTAGGTATATGTATTAGTAGAAGTATTGCTATATTTTGTTTTCATTCTCTATCTGACCTACCCACGCAGTCCAAGCCTGGGCATAAACTCGTTAAAAAGTTAAAAGTTAAGTTAATTTTAACTTTAAACATAACTTTTTAAAATTTAATTTCTGTTAACTCAATCTTTACTTACTTATTTTAATTGATATAAACTTAATAATTAACGAGTTACTTTTAATCGAATTCAAGTTAAGTTAATTTATAAATAATAAAATAATAAATATAGTAAAAATAAAAATCGTTATTGATATTACATAAAAATTTACTAGAATAGGGAATTACTAATATAGTTAAATTCATTTCCTGTTCCATTAACCAGAATTCTTCAAGAAAAATAACTCAATAAAATTCATTTAGATATAAGATATACCTACCAAAAGCCAATTATATTATAACATATACCTAGGTGTATCGTATATATAAAGATATACCATACCGTACTGCGGTATACGGGCATATTGTAATAATAATAATTAATAAATACAAATAACTTATAAATAAAAATATGATATTATTTTATTTTATTAATACCTATAGATACAAATCAAAAATGTTTTATTCTCAAACACATATTATTGTAAAATATTTTCGGCATAAATAAATTATTTTTAAATTAAAACTAATTGCGTTATGCTCATGTTTATTTATATTTCAACTGTTTATATTTATAAACAGCCAATATTGTCAGTAGACAATATAGTCATAGCTCACATGGGTTCACTTTTCGTTCTCAGCTCTCTCAGCACGCAAGAATTACAATACCGTGTTTTAGTTTTTGTGTAACTATTAATACATAATATGTAATTATCAGTGTCCAGTGAAATACGTTTATTTTTTTTTGATTAAATTATTAAATTTTAGAATTTTTAATTCTCTCAATATATTATATAAAATATTTTATTTGATTAAAAAAAAACCTGTGGAAGTCTTTGCAAAGGAGATATAAACGGTGTTGGTGAAGGTACTTCGTTGTTGAGACCAGCAGCTCACCGAATTGGATGTGTTAAATTTATCGTTGATTACAAAAAACGATTAAAATAAAATAATGATTTATCCTCAAACAATTTTATTATTTTGCTGCGATTTAAAAACCAATGAACAATTTATTAATTTAATGGTTCAACAAAATGTATTGGTTCAATCATGTTCAAGGGATAATTAGCTAATTATTGATTCGTTAGGTAAATGTTTTGTAATAATTGTTCATACAATCCGGCATTAAAATCGCAACATAAATTAAAAATGTACAAATTATTTTGTGAATAAAAAGTTATCATTTTTAATTTTTATAAACAACATTTTTTTTCAAACTGATAATACAAAGTTTCTCATTAGTTGTATTCTTACAACGACCATAAAATATCAAAAATACATTTTACACAAAAACATTTGTAAAGATATTTCAATTTTTTACGAAATTATTCTAAGTACTTATTTAGATTAATCTTAAGCAATTTACACCATAAAGGCATGAACCAATTCACATCGTTCTACAATATTTATCTATGTTGGAATTTGCTTGTATAAATTAATCATAGCTACCTACCTAGTTTAGTAATATTTTTAATATTTATTACATAGGTACAACACAAAATTTGTGTTTTTTTTTAAATTTGCTTTAATTGCCTTATTCCCGACTAACAGAAAAATAAATTACTCATAGCAACGAAATAACAATGCTTGTAACAAAATATATTTAGTAACACAATAGGCCGACAGACTCATGTAACCACTTCCAATCATTTTTATCGTATACCTACAATGAATCATTGGTCATTGAATTCAAATATTTTGAAAATTTAATCGTGTATTGAAAATAGTAATTTAAGTAAAAGTAGAATGTTTCAAGGTACAAAAATTGATTGTACGGAAATCTTTGTTTTACGTGTAAATATTATCAATTATTATAATTTGAACATTGAAAATCATAAACAATGAATGTGCTTTTACTTTAAATTTTGTTTTTGTTTAGTTTTAAGACTTTTGTCAATTTTAAAACCCCAAACACTCATAAAAAATAAAATATGGTTTGGGAACAACCTGTTAACTTCTTACGCGTGCGTTATTGTTGTAGATACTTAAGTATTAGATATAATTAATTTTTATAAATTAATTAATAAATGAGAAAGGAATTATTGTTAAAGTCGTATACAGGAGTGGGGTGAGAGATGCTCTTGGGTGAGAGGAGATTTAGTGGTTGTACATTCAATCAGTCATACTAATAAGTTTAGGTATCTAGAGAAAATAAATATATCTTGTATCACAAGCTCATGAAACATGATACATGGTAAATGTTTACCCAAAATGTATAGTTATATGCATATAATGCAATTAGTAGATACTAAATACCTACTATTGATACTATAATAAGTTTAATAACCAGCATTAAAAAAAAGAAAAAAACCTTTTTTCAAATCATCTTGAACAATATTATTCCCTGTGGATTTCGGACTTTTTCTTCTTCACGTTGGTAAACCCAAGGAAACATGTGACAGAGAAAGTTAGTAAGTTTATATCAAATGCGGAATATCCATTATAATTCTGTCTTTTACAATAGCTATAAATTAGATCTAATTCGACCCCAAGTTGTTATGGAAATATAAAAATCTATTATAATTAATAATTATATTCTAAAATATATCGTTAAAATTTGAATAACTATATTTGATTACTCTATTTGAATAACTATATCACCATAGCTCCATATTATTGTTTTTGTGAACTGTGAATACAGAATAACAATTTCAATTATTTTATCTTGTTGATCAAAATTGCAGATCTATGAGACTGTATGTTATGTTGTAAAATACCCGAAAACATGCAAACTATTATACTGCATAATACTTCTTACCTAAAATAATATGCAGTTTATACCGTTCTAAAATAATTTCGGTATACGGGCGAAGCTGATTAATTTTAATATGTATATTGACATATTGTATAAAAATTACCTAGTTATTTCGTTGAAGAATTCTCTTTTATTTATAATGTATTATTTTATTCGAATTAGATAAACTCAACCCTGAGCATTAAGAGGATGTCAATGAACCATTTGTTTTCTCTCTCTCTTACCTTATTTTTAAGATGTTCGTAATTACTAGGGGAAGGTTTTTAAGAAAGAAAATTTTAGGAAAATCTACCGGAAAATAGGAAATCTGGATGTAAAAAATACAACAGTGGCGCCATCTGTCCAGACAATCTGTCCTGTGTTTTGATATTATATGTACCATAATTACGTAAATATTGAGCTTATTATACTCGCATATAAGTTACGTACATAAAACAATGCCACGTCTTCGTGGATGAGGAGAAAATACTGGTCGACTGACTCGGCACTCATAATTAGTCCAGCCGTTTAGGAGGAGTTCAGTGACATCAAGTAGGTATAACTTTGATACTTCACAGTTACATTATAAAGTTACGTAATAAGGGAAATAAAAAATTCATCGTTTTTCCTCGATCGTTATTATGTTGGTACCGCTGACTTGTATTAAGTACCTATTTAATATTTATATTCCAGCCAAATACGTCTACAGAACATAAGTGAACCTGAAATTAATTGTTGGCATAGGTACATGTTTTTTAAGACAATCATAGTCACAAAATCAAAACTGAAAAACATTTAAAATAAAATTGAAGTAGGTATGAAATGGATATAATATTATATTGTATATAATAATCTGGGACAGGTTTTCGATTCAAGTCCAAACCAGTAATCCCAGTTGTTATAACTTATAATATTATATGATAATATGTCTACAAAAATGTAATGTAGTAACCCTGACGATTTACCAGTGGAATCGCGCCAAAATTGTTTTCAATTTATAACCATGTATGTGTCAATTTATAATTTATACTTTATACTAATTTTAATGTAATCAGCAATCAAAACAACTTAAATAAAAATAAAGATAACAAAATTGCAAATGCTAAGTATTTTTAAAATTATCGCACATTTTGAGTGAAGCAGCGATCAAAAAGATTGATAAATAATATATTTATCAAATCTACCTATATATATTACAGGCCTCTAAGAGGTAACATACTACACATTATGCTATTGTAGTACTGACTGCAAGCGCAAATTGTATGGAGTCGCCGTCAATTATAGTAGATAATATCGTTTTTCCTATCTCAAAAAAATTACCACACTGTAAAAATCAAAACAGTATTTTTTATGGTTATTTTATTTTCAAATTTGGACGAAATTGGATATTTAAACGATGAAGAACGATTTTCGTTTTGTATTATATTTAAAAAATTATTATTTGTGGGTACTTAAAACTTCTATAGTATAAAAAATTAACACCATGCATTTCAGATATAGACTTGTAACCTTGTAACCTACTCTATACAGTGAAGAGACTTAAACTTATGTGCTTTTTTGTTTTATGAATAACATTTTTTTTTGCTAGTAAGATCTTTGAAATATCAATACAAGGGTCCTTGAAAGTTTTTCATACAGTAATTATAAATATAAAAAATACAATTTTTTTTTTTAGAATCACCAAAGTCAAAATGTTTATTCAATAATTAAAACCATGGAAATTCGCAAATTATCATTTACTTACCAAAAATACAATTCATACTATTTTTATGACCTTATATTTGAAAATCTAATACTAGATTCCTTAAAAAATTATTTATTGGAAATTAAAAAAAGAAGTTTATTGTTAAATTCAACACTTTAATTTAGCCCTTTGCTATTTTTGTCAATATTCTACAAATATTCATCGTATCTTGAAACATTTCATTGTTATTAAATTATGACATTCTATACTGAATTAAATTTCCAAAACATATAAATAATTATTTACATTTATAGGTATTTTTTAAGTTTTCATAAAAAATATTAGGCTCTCTGAGATACTTTACAATTTGATACAAGATCCCACATACATTTTTCCCTATGTAGTTGAAGTATATTTAAAAATAAAATATGTGTACTTAGGACTTCCTAATGAAATACTAAGTTCCTCTAAAATATTTCATCCTGGGACCAGAAATACAATAAAATATAGACATTGAAGTTCAAATTTATATAACATTAGATATTTAAATGATGAATAACGATTTTAGTTATTTCGTTGTTCTAATTAAAAAATATTGTTCGCTTGGACTTAAAGCTTTTATGTATATTATTTTATTTTACTATATTATTATGGCGTTTTCAAAATATTTTTATTCATTTAAAGCTGATATTTTAAGTTTATTGGGTATTTATACGTTGGGTTCAACACGAACCCAACACAGTTGACCGATCTACGGAAAGTAGATATGATAATAACAAATATATAAATATGTATATATAAGTACTAGGCGGTAACTTAACATTGATGCAATTATAACAATTAATAATAATATAATTTAATAAATGTAATATTTTCACGGGAATGAATTCAACCTTACAGCAGAGTGGTTACCAGTTACCTTCCAAATCCTCACATTTTACATTTTTACTCCTACCTAAGGATCTACCCCTCAGACAAATTATATATGTATAGGTATTAGCTATCATACATAAACATGATTGTACTTCGGCGACACTTTAAAATGACAAAATACCAGATGGTACCTGGCAACTATACCACAAACACGGTGGATGCTTTCTCCGCGTATAAAATTCATTGATAAATATTGCTATAATCTACATAATACTTAAAGGTATAATAATATTTATGGACATTTTTACAAAATATATTATACCACCCGACACCCACCTCTTAAATTAGGTCTGGAACTTGCCAGACTTGAACCATGTCCTCGGCCTCACTGTGTGTATATACACACAATCAAAATATTGCCAATCAGGATAACTCCTAACTTCCACCATCCGTTTCCCGCCAAATAACCACGGCACTAGATATAGCTGTCGATACGCTCAGTATAATCGCTATGTACTACTTTAAACTTACACATAGGACGCCGTGTACTTACAAGTTGGGGTCGTAGACCATTATATCTCCGTTATCGCAGCATTTGTTGACGCATGTGTACTTGCCCCGGCCGCAATACTGGTCGCGTGGCCGGCACGTCCGGGCCACCAGCTCATCGGACGGCGTCAGATCGAAGCAGTAGCCCGACGACAACTCAATGAGCGACCGGTTCGCCTCCATCAGCCCAGGCATCTCCTCGGCGGGCACGTCGACCAGCACGTCTTCCTCGTCGGTCCAATATAACTGACTGTAATGGAACATCTCCAACGTCTCATCGGCTGCCACCCTGAATCCGCGCCGCAGTCGATTCATCAACCTCTCCTGGTACTCGTCAACGTCCATCCCGACCGGTCTGCAGAACCGCGCTTCCGGATCGTACATCCGACCCACCGGGCAACACTTCCTGACCTCCACGGTATTATTCGTGGAGGACGCGACTCTGCCGCCGATCGCGACAACGAGAAACGCCACGGTGGCGGTGAAACACAATCGGATGGCATTCATTGTGTGCGCACACTGTTCGGGCGGCGTCGGCACATCCACTATCGCGACTGTCGGCCGCCGCGTACTGTGTCATCCAGTAATGAAGACCATTCGACGAGCAGCCGCCGCTGCCGACCGCCGCGCTCTTATATAATATTATAAAAAATGTAATATAGTGGTTTATGTTGCTTAAATAATATTATATTATTGTGTAATGAATTTCGGTTATTATTTGCATAATGTTAGGTTTTACGAATAAATTGTCGATATTATTATTAAATACCTATATTATTTCTGGGCAGGTTATCGCGTAAATTATAAGCACAACAAAAACACTTCGTCGAACTTTGTTTAAAAAAACTGCGAAGTAAAAACCACATCTTTAAGCACTATAAATATGTAATATTGTAAAAATAATGCCAAGTAAATTGAATTAAACCCTATGGTAAAAATTGAAGCGTCAGGGTGTAAAAAATATACCGGTTTAAAGTTATAACTCCTGGGTTAAAATATACTAGGATATAGTTACCCCAATGTTAAAAATGTTCTATTTTATATACTTTATACAAAATTCATCAAAAATTCAGAAATTTGTAAATGTTTTTGTAATTTATAAGCTGTTTAGTTCTAAGAGGACGTCGCACAAGCGAATCTATAAAAAAAAAAAAAATTCCCAAAGCTATAACTAACCATACTGTTGGGTATAGCTGTCAAAAATAATAATTAATAATTATAATAAATATACAATTATATTATTTTTATAATAAGTATACAATTTTAATGATAATTTATTATATTATTATAATATTGATTAATAGGTACATAAACTATTGTATGATATTGCTATATAAATATTTATTTATTTGTTTATTTATAAACGGTTAGGTATAGTCCCTTTGGTAATAAAAACTAAAAGTACGGTAAATTGAATATCAATTCGGAAATATTATACTGAAGTTAAAAAATATTTCATTATAAATGAGTCAATATTTTAAAAATCAATCGTATTCCTGTTTATGAATCTTAAAACATATATTATCCTAAATGATTTTTTAACTAAAATATTAATATGTAATATACTACAACTACTTTTTTTTATAATAAAAGTCATAACTATAATTAGTTATAACATTATCTAGTGGAAAATTAATAACACCGCATTTATTTATATTTAGTGAGAGGTAATTTCGACAACTAATTGCGATAAAAATGTATTATAAAATAATAAGTATTGTATTAAAATTGAATTTATATTTGTTTATAATTTGCAATGAGTAGTTTTATAACAGCCTTTTATTATAAATTATAACATACGTGCATAAAGGCTATTTAATAATTTAAAACTATAAATCAGACATCAATAAAATAAATGAATAAAAGTTGAAAGTTAAAAGCTTATTAAAAGTAACAATAATCGCATTTGGAACCTACGGGCTACGAGTAATACTAAAATGTGCGTCCAATCGGATTTTATAATATTATTTATTATTAAATTTCAAATTTCAACATTCAAAATTAACTTAAGCCAACACTTCGCTTGCTTCATTCTCCTCCTCGGTAACTTGTTGTTCAACATTTTCTGTTTCTTCTTGATTTTTTGAGGACAATTTTGATTTGCACAGTTCAGGAATAGTAAACCTTTTCAACTCTGCAAACAATAAAACCCATATTATATATCTGACTTTTTTTTTATTATTGATAAAAAGTTAAAATATAGCAAAGACATTAATGTTAATGGTTTTATGCATAAATTAATTAAATAAATCGTATGATAAATATTGGTACATATTATATAGGTAAAGTAAAAAAAAAACTATAATTTGATGTAGAGGTTTTTACGGTTTTTTTTTTGTTTAAAACCCATTAGATATTTTATCCATGGTGTAAGTAGGTTATAAGTTACAAGATAGTTATTACTTATTAGTTATAATAAATATATATAAATTCGTAGACCTATTAAAGCTTATCAATGCTAAGAAATAAGAATATTATTATGTGTACAACAGAATTGTCATAAAAGAAATACCAAAAATCCAAATTTTAATTTCCATGTAATCTATACCAATAGTATTATTGAATCGCAAATCGCAATTCGCAATAGCTGATGTAGAATTTCTGAAAATTAATAGCAATTTGGACATTTATATGTGTTTCAGAATCAGAATTCAGAGTAAGTTATCATATAATTTTTGAATTATAATTTTTACTCTAATATGGCTGCAGTGATAATATTAATACCTAAACCTAATGCCCAGTATCCTCTTTACTCTATATACTATGCTCTGTACGACACTTCGACCGCACCTACTATTGAACTGTTCATCAGTCTTCGTTACCATTATATTATATTGCTTACATTTATATTTTTAAGTTGTAAATTATTAAATCAAACTGAAACATGGGTCGCCCAAGTGGGTCAAAAATGCATACTTATAACATTTTTAATAATAATTTTTTATTTATTTTAAATATTAAAATGTATTTATTTATTTTGATTTATTATTTTTAATAATTAATCTTTTGTAATATTACCTAACTTCTGAAATAGTTACACTTAATTACAAATACCTGTCACTAAATAGAGGTTATTAATATGTTATTTTTTTTTAAATAGTAGGTACTTAATAATTGATCAAAATAAAATAAAAAAAAGTCAAATGATAAGGGTTAAAACCGGTATTAACCGAAACCAAAATTTGATATTTTTAAAAACCAAAACCAGAACCGAAACCCTAATTTTGGGTTTTTGAGTACCAAAACCTAAACCCAAATCGATAAAATCATAAAGGTTCAATTCTTGATTTACAGTGCAGTCCACAATGTTTATTTTGACAATTTTAACATGATAGTTATTATAGTAACAATAGTAGTGATACTTATACCTAATTAAGGTTGGTCAACATTAATGTATAGCGTAGAGTGTAAGGTTAAGAATATAATTCGACTTATAATTTATCATATATGCTTCATAACAATTAACTAGGTAATAAGATCGTGTGGGCGACTGCGTTTGAGACGTCTTTGAGGTGGTGGAGGTATGTGTACATTTAAGAGTAATGAGCCTGTTAATTTATGAAGGGAACTTAGTGAACTATGGAAATTTACTGCAAGGGGTTTTATATGGTTTTGAATTTTCATAATTTTGAGGTCCTTGTGTAGATTATCGTTTCGTATGAACCCTGGTGTGTTCGTTATAATTCTTGATATTTAACTTTGGAAAATTTGAATTTTTTTATGCGTGTCGCTGAGCAGTTCCCCCAGATTGCACAGTGCAGTAAACATAGTTTTCAATCCGTAGGTATTGTATGTATATTGATATTGCAACTACATAATAATATTAATAGGGCTAAATGTGTATACCTACCTATATGATTATAAATAAGTTCTTGAGACCTCCAGGACCATAGTTTTCAAGTACAATATTATAATATAATAGTTTTAAATTACTATTTAGATATTATGTTAAATAATATTATTTTTAATTTAGAGAGCATTATAGAGTAATATCTTAGTTTCCGAGTGTCGTGGTCTACCTATGTGCATTGTGTGTGTGTGTGTGTGTGTGTGTGTGTGTGTGTGTGTGTGTGTGTGTGTGTGTGTGACGTGTGTATAAAGATAAACACAATAAGTATAAAGTCGAAATATTTCTTCAATTCTTAATTTTATTATTTTTCGATTATAATGTTTTTACTAGATTGAGAAACTTGAAAATGTAATATAAGGTTTTTCATAAGTTTTTGTTAGAGGAAATCAACAAAAATGTTGAGCATATATCCAAAAATTTTATGAGTGTCCATAGTAAGAATTTTGACAAAATTTGTCTGCACATTTTTTTGAGATAAAATTTATGAAAATATTATTTTGTAGGTTATAATTTATAAAATGTACATAGTTTTTCTAGCTAAGAATTGATAATTTATAACAAGATTTCTCATAAGTGATTTATACTGTAACCAAAAAAATCTAAAAAATATATAATTATTTTCAGGCGCGGTTCTAGGATTACATTTTGGTATGGGCAACAGTAGATTTATTATTAGGTTTTAACTGTGAATAATTTTCCTCATAAAGTTGCTCCAGTAATTTTGGTATGAGCAGCTACCCACCATGCCCATACTCTAGAACAGCCGCTAGTTATTTTTATAGATATTTTAGGTTCAAATTAGGATAAAATTTAAAATATAAACAAATAAGAATTAAGTATTCGTCTTATTCCAATACAATTTATGATTTCTATACTCAATTAGTCATTTCGTTTAACATCAGATTTTATAATATGTAAGTAGCGGTTCTTTATTTTCAATACCTTTATTTATAACACTTATCTACCTATGTATTATTAATTACCCTGTGTAAATCGTCGCAAGCCTATTCACGGAACATTTGACAATTTAGTGACTTTTGCAAGAAAACTGCGTGTAAGAATGCTTAAATTCTTGCACACAGTTGTACCTTCTACCTATTTATTGATTTTTTTTTTATTATGATTTGAATGAATATCTAAAATATATTATTATTAATTAGGTATTTTAATTAGTGTTCACTATTGTATTTACTATTAATATTGTCCTTGAGTTGTTTTGCATGAACGTTGAAGTAGCATTTTACATTATCTAAAATGAAAAAAAAATTGAGGCACAATTATTGTATAATAATTAAACACTATTTATTTACTATTATCTTCTTATATTTTAGTTACCTATTTTATCTACTATTTTGTAAAAGTCCCTTGGGCGTTTATTCTTATAGTAAATAAATAAATAAACAGTGTATTTACTTTTATCAGTGAAACTATCCTATCTCAGATTATAATAGTTTTACTGATTATTTGTTTTTAATACTAAGCTACCTGTATGGACATTTAATGTACCAGCCCCTACACAGGAATTAAACATTTTTTTTTGTCCGATATTTAGTGCCAGTAATAATAGGCGTATGATGTATTTTCATGCTAATACTTTTGTAATTTCAATTTTAAATGCTGATAATTCTACGTGCAATGAAAGCTTTAAGCTGCATTGATCGTTCTACAAAATTAAATTTTGAAATAAATTCAGCCCAAATACTTATCAGAAATTGGCAGTGATTTTCAATAAAGTTAAGTAGAATAAATGTAGTCAGGAAATATAAAACCGTCGTCATGTGGACAAAAAGATTAAATTAATTCGTGAAGTGCGTCAACTACTTGTTACTACTATTTTGGCAACTTTACATAAAATATTTTAAGCTTAATCGTGTTGTTAAAAAGGTATGAAAACCTATGAGGCTGGTCAAAGTGTCAACAATGTACCGACTTGATTTTGTTCTCTAGCCATATGTTCCACTTTTCTAGAGAGTGCGCTGTAAGCTCTTAAAAGGGACGAAACGTCACAGACTTTAAAATAGAAATGTTCATGGATCTACTCACAAAATACAAGTGATTTAAAAACACTCGAAAATAATTTTGTAATATAATCTTTTTTTGCTATATTATGATTCAATTTAACTGTTTCTATTATAAAAGATATAGTATTAATTGCAGTACCATCATGTAAAGTACAATAAGCGATAGTGAGAAAATTTTCCAAAAATAATTTACCATCCATATACAGGTTTAAAGATTTACCGCCTTTGTCTATAACAAAAATATATGATTATAAAAAAGATATTAAATGTCTGTTAAGAACTACATAGTAAATTCTGAGCGGAGCGAAGTGTGTTTTTTTTTAAAAATATTTTTGTGCCTGTGTACACAATAAGTAGCTGAAATAATGTTTAGATTTTAAAGTTCAATTGTCTGATGAGGAAATTAACTTAGTTGATAGAATCGAGAAGGCAAAATTGAAAATTCCTAGTAGTTTACAAAAGCACAGGGAAAAACAAAAAAAAAAAAATTTAAAACTGCAATTTTTACTCAAAATCGGTTTTCGACAAAAATGATTTTAGTTTAAGGTGTAACTCTAAAAAAAATTACTGGAGATGCATGAAATTCTTATCAACTGTTTATAATATTATTTGAATTTTTTCACACCATAAAATTTGCAAATTATTTTATGGTTAAAAATGTATATAATGTTCAATTTTTATAGTTAAGAATTGAATCAGCACCGACAAATCTAAGATGGAGGCAAATTCAACTCTCAAATGACGCAGTCGTTGGAGTAAGTTAAAATTTTAATCATTCGACTTTAGGTAATCAAATTAGCAGTGATTTTTTAATCAATATTTAACCCAATCGCAGCATAAGACTCCAAATAGATAGACACGCGTGGTACACTTAAATATAGTCACTTTATTCTAAAATATAATTCAGTATTTCAGTATATACTTTGTTTTTACCTTTCTCAGAATCGATCAAATTAGCTAAAAAAAAAATATTAAAGTTTTAATAATTATTAATATAATATATCATCTCTAATATTACCTGAATCCTATGATTTATTAAAGAACTCATTTTTATTTATTTATTTTTTTTTTTTTTTGATACCTTATTAAATCAAAAGAATCGTAGTTTTTTTCAGTAAATTTCAGTATTTATTAAATTGATAGATCGTTGACCCATAAAAGATCTAATCAAGTTTACGAATGACCAAACTATAGTATTAAACCCCCGTCAAAATATAAGTACCTACCTACCTACCTACTATCTACTTATAATTTGGAAACAATTTTTAGATTATTTTGTAATTTACCTATAAGCATTTATTGCTATATGCTTCAATAAAATTGTTTTTATGATAATCGTTAGTTTACGCAGCAATATCAAGTTTAAAAATTCGAATAATGAAGATATTGAAGAACGTTTAAATTGCATTTTATTCTAGATAGTCTGCGTCAGTAGACAATACCATTAACAGAATTTACTATAATACCTACATAGCAATAGTATGCAGTAATGCAGTATATTGTACACATATTTTTTAAAATAAACAATTAAATTTAAAGGAATTGATTTTGATTCTATTTATTATTTTATTCATGATAAACTTCATATTTATTTTAAAAAATGTTCCCAAGAACATCTATAGGCATTGTCTACAAAACAAAGGTTTTGAAAGAATGTATCTATTTTTTTTTTTTAATAAGCACCAAGTGCTTGAAATCGTTCATAAAATTGAAGTAGTCGAATTCGACGTAATTTTGGGATAAAAAGCTGTTTTTTTCTTCATCGAGTCCCAGAAAATACTGAACTATTGGAGAATTTAATAATAAAATATTTCCGAAAATAAATCTTTTCTTTATGTTTCTTCGAATTTTTTAACAATCTAATACTTTTTAAACTATTTATTTTATACAAATTCTTAACTTTATCTATAATAAATAATTAAAACTTTATTAGTATTATTTAATCAATTCAAGTTATAAATATAATCTATAATAATTTTCTTACCTAATTCGTATGATGTTAAAAAATTTTTGTAAGGATTTTCCACTAATAAATACATATAATATATATTTTGTTATTACATAGAATAGGTAACAGTCTTATTCTACTATGATTTACATTTCAGAAATCTTTTAATTCATGATTTCTATACCCCATTAGACATTTTGATTAAAATCAGTAGTATAAAATGTGACGCCGGTTGTCGTTTGCTTATCAGTTATCACTATTGTTATTTTTGACCTTTTTTGTAAGACAGTTGTGCATCGTTTGATTTTTGGGTTATACATCGTTTGTGCATCGATCATTGAAAAGGTTGTACATCATTTGCGCATCAATATTATTTAATAATAGAACTGAAAAAAAGGTGTATACCCAAAAGCGCGTTGTTTTCTAACTTAAGTCATAAAATTCAATCGTAAATGAATTAAACACAATTTAGTTGAATTCATTTTTACTCAAACTACATAATATGTGTTATATGTATATTTTTAACTATAACTATGGCCATGTAATGTGCCCAATTGAACTGGGTATTACATTTTTACTACAAAATAATTTGCAAATTTTTGAGCTTTTGATAAATTTTGTCAACATTTGAACTTTAAATGCTTATTGAACAAAAACTTGTGCCAATATATATTAAATTATTCATTATCTATATAATATTATATGTGTGTACAATTATTATTATACGTTTCTATTGTTCAGAATTTTGATGCGCATATGATGTACGATAATTTGGTGCAGGTAAACAGACGATGCGCAAATGATATACGGCCAAAATATGAGTACCTAGCGGTTCTTTATTTTAAATATTTAATTGTTGCCGTTATTCTTTTAAATTGGTTCCAGTATATATGTATAAATTGAACTCATAGATTTAACAATGTTACGCTAGTACTCCAAGTATAAACATTTTTTTTTTAAATTTCTTAAGGATTTATAATGAAATTTTACCACGATAATTTGTTTTGTGACCATTAAAAAGTTCAACATCAGTAGTGTGTAAATAAAATCAGCGATGAGTCATCACCGTTGGCTAATTAATCGTGTATTAACTAATTAATTAATTATTTAATATTTTAATACTTTAAATCGAGAAATTAATTTTGATATAAAGCAGGGTGACGTCACACAGACACCCTAATAACTCGACAGTAAGTTTTATCAATATTTAATATGATTTCTGTTGGGTCAGATTGATGGTAAGCTATATTGAAAGAGGAAGACTGAGGATGGAATACTTGAAACAAATCATGATAGACATGGGTAAGAATGGCTACAAAGAGTTAAAGGAATTAAGTTACAAAAGGAAAGCATGGAGCACTAGGACGACAAACCGCAATAGAAACAATTTTTCACAAGGAAGAATTTACAAAACAAAATTATCGTGGTACAATTTTGATTTTGTTATAATATGGTTGCATAGTATCAAAAATTCAAAACTTGGGCTGCTGGTGTGTCATGGCTCGGAGAATTATATCTTAATTAGTTAAATGTAGGTACCTATGTCGTCTAATTTCTAGACTCTAGAGTATATATTTTTGTTGTAAAATAATTATATACTCACTATCATACTTATACGTTTTATGATTATGCACTGTTTATAAATTAATAATTTAAAAAAATTAATGTTAATACTACAAACACATATATTATGAATGCATTTTTTAACAATATTAACGTTAAACATGTATGGAGACTGATATTAAAATCAAGTTTGAATAAGGTAATATAATTTTTATCTCACTAAAGTTGAGCACATATTCAACTAATACGTTAAGCTTAAAATTTTACATTTTATACAAAATAGGTTATTATTTAATGTCATATAATCACAACAATTTCAAGATATTATAAATCAATAGAAACATTTAAACAGTGCCTATGACAGTTTTTCAACAAATCTTATTTGATTATTTAAGTAATATAAAAACTATTGATCCTAGAAATTTGAAATGATCATTTATTTTTAATAAATAATTAAATCTAAAAATAATTTGTTCAGCTTAATTTGAGAATTTTTGTGTTTTCATGTCTCTCATTTATGTAACCTTTAATGTTAAGTACCTATACCTAATATGATTAAATATTATTAAATTGAAATATTTGTTTTATTTTTATATTGTAATTTAACACATCGTCACCATTAGATTACTAATTAGGTTAAAAAAAATATTTACCAAATACATAGTTGGTTATAGAAAGTAGACAATCTAAAAGTATAAAAAAAAATTGTAAATTAAATAAATATATTTACTTGTTTTTAAAAATAAACTAAATTAAATTATGTTCACATTTTACAGTAACACAAATAAAAAAATAATACCTATATTTATCAATTAGTATCAAGAGTATTGTCAATCTTGTAAAAGATACTTTTTAAAAGTATTCAAGTACAAATTTACAGTTACTTATTAAAAAAAAATGATTTTAAATACGTATTTGAATACTCAGCAAAAAAGTATTTGAGCATATGTACAAAATACAAATACACCACGTCTTTATATCTACTCAAAAATAATCATAGTTCCCCATTTCTTATATTATAAAAAATACTTTGTATATTGCAAATTGGATCAGCAAAGATAAGTATATGTCAGTTATCAACTGTAGGTCACTCATTGGACCGGTGCTTAGCTATTTTTTGATGATAATGTTAATCTTTTTCTCATCGTATCAATCAGTGTTTTTTTTTTAATTTACAATCTTTTCTTTTCCCAATGTTCAATGATTCTTAACATTTCGTCCTCGTTTTCCTTCAGACCAATGAAATCTTCTACATCTACTCTAGGTACAATGTACATTAAAACAAACGGCTTATTGTTTGTTTCTCTCCTCATTATCTGTCATTCCACATAATATATTTAAGTTTTCATTAGTTCTTCTCACTTAGGTCCTCAGACGGTTGAGAGTTTACAACATATTCCATGGTAGGTTATGACCAGATGGTAAGGATTCTGTAGGTACACCCCAGCCGGTGAGCATGTCCTTTTTTGTTCGTTCATTCCATGCTTCAATCCGGCATTGTTTCAATCCTCAATCCGGCTTTCCGTTGGCTTACCCTTAATGCTGATGTCGTTTGCATAAAATATTTCTTTGATTCTAACCTGCTACGCGTTGGAGTAAATGCCTGTCGTCGTTTATTTGTTTTTATCTTTCTATATTTGCTGCTACTTCGCGTATTATTTCGGGTGCGCTATTCCGAATAATACCTAATTAAATATTATAAGATCTGTACTTTATCAATAATGGTTGGTTTTAATTATCCCGTCGTTAAAATTATCGTGTCAATTTAATGCTGTTTCTACTTTCTTTACATGACTGATCCATACTGCGTATACATACTCCATATTCCCCAGCTGAGTAGCATACATATAACTGATAGGTACTAGCTGCTATTCTTATCACTTATGGTTCAGCACATAACTCGTTCGCATTAGTTAATGCCAGAGATAGGTTCTTGAAAAATATAATATCAATTTTTACTTTACTAGTCGATTAAACGGTTTTCCGTTAAAATTAAATACTGTAAGACCTTCTTACAACGGAATAATCACTCGGTTCCAACTGATTTTTCAGGTATATAGGAGTTTTCGTTATTCGAAGACTAAAATAAACGAGTTATAGTTTAAGCGGGGATGTTGTTATTTTACATTGTAAGGAGATTTTACTATTTACATATTATGTTATTGACTTGTATTTTATAATGAATTAAGTAAAAATGGTAAATGATCTTACCCGTAACAGCTGTGAATGTATATATGTTCATCGTTATTATAAATGATTAGTATTATAAATTATAAATAATTTATATAATCATTGGACTTACTCTGATCGAATGCTGTAAATTTATAAATACGTTATAAAAGAAGTTATTAAAGTACTACGATTTGGAATACAGTTGATCAGTTGATTCCATAATAGTATAAATATTTTCTATTTTTAGTTTTGTTGAACGTGATTCGTTGTTAAATAATAATTTTTATGAATTATTAATTAGGTATGTTAAAGACTAGTGAACTTACCATCATCGAGGGTAACCTCTTTCACTTCTGTACATTTATAAACATAAAAGTTGTTAAATGTATTACAGTACTACGATTTGGAATACAGTTGATCAGCTAATTTAATAATATTTTTATAAATTTTTCAAATAAATATGGAGTTTGATTGATGACTAGCTCCAGTACCTCCATAATTAAAAAATCTATTTGGCATAATATTTTACAGATTATAGGTAGATAACTACAACCCAGTTCCTGTATTAAAACCGTTTAATATAATATGCCTTGAAACTATTGGAATCGTTGATATTATTAGCCAAGGTTATGCAAAAAACATTTTAAAAAGTTTAAAATTTAATCGGTGGAAATATTCTAGCTTTTACAATATGTAACAGCGCGGTTGCAGAAATTTGAAGACGATTTGATATATGCAATTAAACGTAAAGGTTGGGATGGCGAAGAAGACACTAAAATACAACAATGGACCTTTATTGGGGCTTTATTTTACTCAATAATTGTCATCACAACTATTGGTGAGTACGCATGGATATAATTATTTAAGTTAATTTTTAAGTACCTATCAACATAATTACTTACACAACATTTATACGTATAGATCCCAGGGGCGGTTCTTGAGAAGCCACAAGGGGGGGGCAGCGAATATATTTTGCATATACCTACATTATACTTACAATTTGCATTCATATCAAATTTTTTTTTTCTATTGTTTGGTACATGAGATATAATTATAAATTATATAAATTATAAACTTTATACTACAACGGCATAACACAAAGATATAGGAATCAATAAAAAAATTAAAACATAAATTATTTTTTATTCAAACTTAATTAACAATCAAACTTCAAACATATTATACATATTAAATAAACGAGCGCCCTCTATACTTCAATAGGAGTAAACATTTTTGTAAACAGTAAACATTTTGACAAAAATTAAAAAATAAAAATATCGCCAAAACGATTTTTAGTAAACTGTTTGCTCATTTATATTTTTAGTTTTTACTCGGCCCAAGGGGGGGCGGTCCACCTATCGCCCCCCCCCGTAAAACCGCCACTGATAGATCCCTAGATATATAATATATATATACATAGGAATTTATTGTAAATAAGTCTTAATTATTATAGTATTAGCTTAGTTACTCCTAAACCTCAATAGTTTCATTTATATTTTTAGTAGGTACCTAATCTTAAGATATTATGTTTCCTACAGTTTAAAAATGATGCTATTAAATCGGTATAGGTACTAGGTATAAAGTTGTTTAGTTATAAGGTAAAATATCTGCTTGTATACAACTATACAAGTAGGTTAATAATTTGACAATAGAAAAGTGTTCATCTGTATTATTGTCAAAAATATATTTAAGAACAGATATGTATAATATGAATAAATGTATATTCTACAAACTTGAGATATTATACAATTAAAACTAAAATGAGGGTTATTAAATTTATCTAACTAAATAATTGTTTGAACAAGTTCATTTAATTTATTCTTGATATATTTCTATACATTCATTGGTAATTAAATTTCTGTTATATGCATGAAAAGTTTATATTAGTTGAAAGGCTAACATATTGTGCCTTATATATTATTATCATAAAACAAACACCAAACTAATTTCATATATATATATATTTGAGATATTGTGATGGGTCTAAATTGTTAACATAGGTTATGTAAATAAATACCATGCACCGTTTTATATTTAATTTGGAATTAGTTTCCGTTTTATGTTTTAAAATTAGTGAGAATATATATTCCTATGTATTATTGTCCTATTGATTTTACATAGGTATTTGATACCTAACCTACAAAGTTATCTCGTATTAAACTACAAGGTACAAAGGAACGAAAAGATCGGTAGGTACTCGTACTTTAATAGTATAATATGGTTAGAAGGTAGTATAAGTAGGTTGTAGGTACCTATTTCAACTAAACGTAGCACTAGTATCATCTTTATTTTAACCTTTATAAAGGTGATACCCATTACACTGTGGGAGAATTTGACTAGTGTACACTGCTGTAGTGTCCTTACCCCAATATTAATATATCGTTATATTATAACTATTATGTTGTATCGTTGTAATGTCGTTCGACACACACACACGTTTCTAAATAAACTATAATATATTTAAATAATATGTATGTCTTAAACCCGTACTTATTTTTACTATTTAATATCTAAGTTTTTGTTAGTCACAATAATCTGTACGAAACCGATATAAAAAAGTCAGGGAGGGTATATAAGTTAAGCATTTTTTTAATACAGCTATGAACGAAGTGCATATTTTCGTGTTATAAATTGTGATAAATGAAAGCATGTCAAAATGTTAAATCAAACTTTAAATTAACTTATTTAATGTTACTTATGAGCAGGGCTGTGAATTTCATGCACTAAAAAAGTCTTAAATATGCATGCATTTATGCACTATAAACAAGTGAATTATGCTTTAAAATATGCATTATAAAATTTAAAAATATGCAATTTGAAAAAAAAAATTAACCATATATCCTGGATGAAAAAATGTTTTATTTAAACAAATATTGTAATTATAAAATGACTGAAAATGGACTTGTTTCGTCCAAATTCAAGACATTTTACAAATGAGAAAAACATATTATTAAAATTAAAAAAAAAACAATAACAAGAGAAACTCGAAAAATCTTGCATTTATACGCCCTTACCAGTTAAATATGCAAAAATATGCAAAATCAGATTTTTTTTATTTAATTTATAAATAACGCAAAACAAATTTTGATCAAATCCATTTTCTCATACGATGTAGCAAAAAAAACATGAAATGCTGAAATGCATGAAATTCACAGCCCTGGTAATTTTTGTTATTTGTATGATAACAAAATAATAAAAATCACGATTTGAAACAAAAAGGAATTTGGATTTGGATTTGGGCTATCAGTTATAGTAGTTAATTTTTATTTACCAAATATATTTTATGTCATAACTGTATAAGTGTACTCGCCTTGGGACGATCAGTTAATTCAATAATATTATTATAAACATCGAATTTTGATTGATGACCAGCTCCACTACCTACGCTTAATTAAAAACCCTATTTTGGCATAATATCTATATAATATATATAGCACCTTATTAAATTCATTTAGTAAAATATTCTTTGAAATTATCATCAGCATTACTATTTATTACTAAATATATTTAAGATTTTAAGCGGAGCGATGAATTTATTGATTTTACAATGATGTGTACTACTAATTTGTGTCTGGAGACACTTATTATGGGAAAAAAAATCGTTTGATTTCAAACTTCAGCATCTTTTCCGGTATACAATTAAATCTAGTTGGCACTTTGGAGGTGAAAAGTAAAAAAAAAACACAGTTAACTTTCGATATTTCCTTCAGAACTTTCTTAATAATTGGTTACTACAAAAATGAAAAACTAAGGAAAAATGTGTATTTTTTTTCGAAATATACGTTTTTAACCAAATCGATTTTGCTTAATCATATACATAAAATATTGTGTAAACGTGAATCGTTATTAAACGACTATTGCTATGAATTATGAATTATATTTAATACTAGTGGACTTACCATTCTTGTCTTCTATAAAATATATTTAAACATAATAATTATTAAAGTTATTATAGCGATTTTGAATACAGTCAATAAGTTAATTCAATAACAAAAAAGTAACATTTAACAAATTCTTAACTGAATTTAATAATTTTAAATCACTTCATTCTAAAGTTGTCAATAATGTTTTCCTTAATGTAAATAGTTCTTTAAGTAATAATAGTAATTTGATAAAATCTAAGAATCCCTTGTGCACTAATAATTGTGATACTAATTCCATTTCTAACTTAAATATTTTCTACCAAAATGTACGTGGACTTAGATCCAAACTTGATTTGGTCAGGGCTAACATTCCTGTGTTTGGTGAATATGATGTGGTGATTCTTTCCGAAACTTGGTTTATCCCTGACTTTATTAACTCAGAATTTGGCTACCAGTACTTTTTATTTATTTATTTATTTAAGTTTTAAACGGGCCAGGCCCAATTACATACATAATAATAATAATAACCACTCGATTTGGTGGAGTACTAATTGCTATTAGATCTAACTTAAGTCCCTCTCTCATTAATATAAATACATATAACATTGAGCAAATTTTTGTAGCAGCTAAAATCTCCTCAAGTCTCCTCATTTTCGGAGACGTATACTTACCTCTTAACTGTCCTTTACAGTTTTATGAGTTCCATGTATCGTCGGTTGATGAAGTTATTTCCATTCACTCTCCTATTCCTTTCATCCTAATCGGTGACTATAACTTACCCACCATAGTATGGTCTTCTGATAACCTTGGCATGGTTGTAACGGGAGTCTCTTCACCTTCACTTTCCCTCATTGCCGATTCTTTTTCCCCTCATAACCTCTTCCAGTGCAATCACACCCATAACTCCTTTGGTGGTCTTCTTGATCTTGTCTTTTCAAGCTCTAATGAGGTCACTACCAGTAGCGCTACTTCACTTCTAGTCCCTGCTGACTTGTATCATCCACCTCTAGCAATTTGTTTCCTTCTCCCAAAACTTACAAAAATACCTAATTCTATTTCTTACCATGATTTCAAGAATGCTAATTATGAGGCCATCAATAAGTTTTTTCTATCATTCAATTGGAATGATACCTTTCCTCTCTACAGTGCTAATGATATTGCCACTTTTTTTAATGATGCCTTATTGCAATGCATTAATTCCTTTTTTCCTCTCAAAATCTATAAAACCACGTCGTTTCCTCGCTGGGTCTCTAAAGAGTTAAACAATTTAATTTATAAAAAAAAAATGGCACATTGTTTATTTCAAAGGACTACCCTCCCTAGTGATCACTGCAAATTTTCAGAATTAAGAGCTAAGTGCAAACGCGTTTCTAAGCTTAACTACCATGCTCATATTAATACTCAATCAACTCGTATTTTTTGGAATGGAAATATTTTCGTGATCTGAACAGGCAAATATCAATCCCTTTGAATGTTCAATATAGCTCGCTCACTGCTTCTTCTGACTTAGAATCGGATTCCTTCTTTTCTGAATAGTTTACATCTATTTTCAAGCCGGTACCATCTTCCTGTTCTCCTGCCCTCCCATTTTAGCACCCTTATTCGCTTCCCTATAAATGCTACTTTTCTCCAGATTCCTCTCTGCTCTCGATAAGTTGAAAAGTGTTTCGTCTAATGGCCCCAATGGTATCTCAGCTTTCTTACTTTTCCAATGTCGTCTCTCCTTGTTCTTCCCACTATATCTCTTGTTCAGGAAGTGTTTGGATGAAGGTGTTTTTCCATCAGTGTGGAAAATTTGCTCTGTCATTCCTGTTCTCAAGTCCTCTGATACGTCTCTTGTTACCAACTATCGTCCCATCTCTATATCACCCGCACATAGTTAAAATATTCGAATGTATCATATTCAACTATTTGGGGTCCAAATTAAATCGCATTCTTATTCTTCAACAACACGGTTTTCGCATTGGGAGAAGTACCATTTCTTGTACTTTCTCTTACTTTATTTATGACTGCCTTTGTAGTGGCGCCCAAATTGATATTATTTTCACCGATTTTTCAAAAGCTTTTGACACTGTTCCTCATAACTTGCTTATTAATGAACTTGACCGTATTGGTATTGGAGATTCTCTTCTTTCCTTGTTCCGTTCATACCTATCCAACCGTAAGCAGTTTGTTAAACTAAATGAGGTTTCATCTGGCTTATCAGATGTCACATCTGGTGTTCCACAGGGTGGTCATTTGAGTCCTTAATTGTTTTGCATTTATGTTAACTCAATTTCCAGTTTCCTCAAAAAGGCTCATTTCCTTTTCTATGCTGATGACATAAATATTTTCCTTAAAATTTAAACCCATTCTGACTGTTAACTTGTTCACTATTATCAAATGAACTTATTCAATTTAATAATTGGGTATCCACCCTAGGCCTCTCTCTTAATATTAGTAAGTGTAATGTAATTTCCTTCTCTAGATCTCGAAATCCTATTCATCATCCTTACCTGCTTAACAACATTCTGCTGCAACGCGCATCTATTATAAAAGATTTTGGTATTTAATACTCTTCCACTCTCCCTTTTAACCATCACATTGATATTATTAAAGGTCAAGCTAATAAGGTTTTAAGTTTTATTAAACGTAATACCGAGCTTTTTTCATCACCTACCTGTCTCCGTTCTTTATATTTTGCTCTTGTTAGATCTATTTTAGAATTTGGGGTTGTTGTTTGGCACCCATACCTTGCTAAGGATCAGCTGCGTCTTGAGCGAGTTCAGCATAAATTAATTTCTTTCGTTGCTTTTATACTTAGATTACCAAATCCTAATCACAACTATTCTGATATTAGCCATTTTCTAAATATACCCTCTCTATCATCACGCCACAATCTTATTGATTTACAGTTCATTCATTTTCTCCTTGACAACTCTATCGGCTCTCCTGACCTACTATCGAAAATCCAATTTAAAGTCCCCTCTTACAATGTTCGAACTCACTCTCCTTATTACATTCCAACTCTGTCTACTTCCTTCAGCCATAATCACCCCATGCACAGGATGCTTAGGTTAGCCAATCAACTGTGATCTATCGTGGTTTTCTCATTTAATTTGTTTGTATCATATTATTAGTTTGTACTTAAATCTGTGCTGTTATCAATTTTTATTTAAATGTGTATATACTGTATACCTTTCTATAAAAGCCGTTATTTTATAATAAATAAATAAATAAAAATAAATAATATAAATATTTTCCGTTTTTAAATTTGTTATTTTGTATGTTTTGTAAATGATGCAATTCCATAGTAACCAGTTATGTGTTCAAACTCTAAGTAGAAACATGCTCATCATCGTATCCATGAAATAAGTTATATATCATAGCGACTACACTTGATCAAGACTATTCACAAAAAGATGAAGAATCCGTTTTTCATACATCTCTAACTACACAGTTTTGGACAAATATTTGCAATTAAATGAAATGATAATCTTTAAAAAGGTCGGCAAGTGGGGGTCACTCTGCTGTACAGTAGGTTATAAATGGGTCACTGTATAATGGATGATATTAAATTTGAATTCAACGATATATTATCATTGTATAAGAAAAACGATTCTGAGCAAAGACGGTATATCAGTCTAGGTATAAAACATAATATAATATACATATCTATGGTATTAAAATAAAATTGACCTATATAATAGGTACCTATAATAAATTCCAAATTAATCATATCACAATATCCATTAGGTACTTATAAGCGTTATACATCAACAACAAACCGTGATACTATCATAGATATATAATAGTACACTTTAGAAGTTTCAAGTATCCACGAATAATATTATACAATCACAACAATAAAACTAAAATAGTTATTCTATAGGTTTTTTAGTATGTAATTTCGTCCAAATATGAATTTAAAATGTCTGTAAAAAATAAGTGTGTCCATAAATTTTTTAGATTTTTTGGCTACAGTATGAACTATTTATGAGAATCTTATTTTTAAATTTTCAACCCTTAGCTATAAAAACTGAACATTTTATAATTTATTTATTACGCGCTGATTAATAATTTTCGAGATTTTGAAAAATTCTGCCAAAATTCCATGTTTAAATGCTTATAAAAAAAAATTGTGCATATGTATTTTAAATATTTTTCAACTGATATTGTAACAATATAACAGGAGCCTTGTATTAAATTTTTAAATTTTTTGTTTAAACAGATAAAACTTTATTGATATTCATAGAAAAAAAAACTAAAAAAATTGAAAAATGAAAATATCCGTAAACAGCTCAAAAAGAGTCAAAATATTTTCAAAATTATATGGTGTATAGGAAATGCTAATATAAACATTCAGTGAAATTTTCATGCATCTATAGTTGTTCGTTAATGAATAAAAACAAAATAAGGAAATCGCTACATGAGAAATCGAGTGAATATTAAATGTTGTATAAAAATATGAATTTCAAACGCTCATAAAAATTTAATTTGACTGTCCGGTAGAGATTTTTTTATTGATAAAGGTAGACAAACTTATGAGTAATCTTGTATTACATTTTCAAATCTTAGATTTAAAAAGAAAAATTTTTACTAATTCTTAACTCAAAATAATTTGCTAATTTTCGTGATTTTTCCATATTTTGTCAAATTTTGAACTTTAAATGCTTATAAAAAAAAATTGTGACCAAGGATTTTTAATATTTTTCATCTGCCTTTGAAACAATATACTAGGAGCCTTCTATTAAATTTTCAAGCTTTCGCAACCAACAAATAAAATTTTATTGATATTTCTAGAAAAAAAACTAAAAAAAAATGAAAAATGAAAATGTCCCTAAACAGTTCAAAATAAATCAAAATATTTTGAAAATGTTATCGTGTATAGAAAATGCAAATATAAACAACCAGTGAAAATTTCATGTATCTACGATCATTTGTTTTAAGGTTACACCAAAAACCAAATTAAATTTTCTGAAAAATCGATTTTGCGTAAAAATTCACGTTTTTCCTTAATTTTTCTTTTGTTTTTCTTGGCGCTTTTGAAAAGTACTGAGAATTTTAAATTTTGACCTCCCCAATGCACCAACAATATTCACTTTCCAATCGAACAAGATACTGAAGTCGAAAATCGAAGCATTATTTCGACTACTTATCGTGTACACAGACACAAAAAAAAAAAATAAAAAAAAAAAACACACATCATTGTAAAATCAATACATTCATCGTTTCACTCAGAATCTAAAATATAAGATCAAAGCTCATTACGAAATTTAAATACTTTGGGACTACACAACATATCGTAAAATCTGTTTTAAGAAAACACCTCTACCAACACTCAAGGAAGTAAAACTGTCCAATTCCATTGAAAATAATATAATTATCAAGCTAAACGAAACTCTAAAACCGGAATCTTTCCCACGCAAATAGACAGTAAAATGAATCAGAAGTGCTTGTTTCGTGCAATATTACATTTAGTTAATTTTACGTATATAAATCATAGCAGGTGTGCATTAGTGTATACTTTTCATTCGTGATACGCAAGAAAAATAAAAAGAATAAAATTAATATAAAAATAAGAGTTAATTTTCCATAGTATGGTAATCCACGGGTGACATAATATAAATAACAACCCGTTAAAAAGTTAAAGTTTCTCCAAATAATTCTCCACCAATTATATTTATATCAAGTTTCTATGACTGTTATTAAAATAAATAATACAATTTTGAAAATTATATCCAATCATTTCATTGATAATAACTATTTTACTTTCTGTAACCAAATGGAAACCAAATATATTATATATTATAATAATATATCAGATTTCCATTTGCCAAAAAAAAATTACAGGGGTTTATCAGAAATAATTGAGTGCAAAAATTCAGAAAAATGGATTCAGTAGTTTTTCCCGGTTAGTGGGGTTACTGTTTTTATCTTTTGAGTCAAAACCGGCTTATAGAAAGGTATAAATAGGAACAAATAATAATGGAAATTTATTTTGGAAATATAATTAGTGTGTAGTAATAAATAATAATATACCATATTATACTTCAAAGTGCACACGAATAATATTTTTGAATAACAACAAAAAGTCTAAAAACTTTATTTACTAAAAGTACCAATAGAGCAACGAAAAATATTATTCTCAATGCCATAATTGAATAACCGTTTACCCAAACCCTATGCATTGTCTACACTCTACGTAGATTCATTTTCTACATCTTCAGGTTTCAACCACACACTTTCACATGTCTCATTAAAAACAAAATTGTTGCGTTTTACATATATTTTCTAGTAACTACCTAAACTAATGATTTAGTTTCTGACAATCAAGAAAACCAAAATTTCATTAACAACAAAACGTTCAAACAAATTTAACTAATTACAGGACTAAAAAATATAGATAATTCTTCACCCGTTATGCGCATATCGTCACTGACGGGAAAAAATGCCAAATTTATGATTTTGAGGTTTTGGTATCCTTTGATTCAGTAAAAAAAGCTTTTTATTTTTATAAAAATCTCCTATATGAAATATCTTCATCGGAGAATTAATGAAAAATAATAAATAAATTCTCTTATGTGTTGTCTACAGTAAATCGTTTATGAAATAACTCCATTTTGATTTTTTTATTTAAAACGTTTATTTGTGTTTCCTGAAAACTACACTTTTTTACATATAAGGTCTACTAACTAACGACAATAATTTATACTGATTAAGTAGGTACTATAGGTATACAATTATTATTGAAGTATTAGATACAGTATTGGCGTACACATGGGAGCATTATGACCCCCCCCTTGAAAATATCTGTGTAGTGTGTACGCCACTGATAAGTTATTATAGGTACAATTTGTTGTTACAGTAATAATAATAGTAAATGTGAGTCCTTACTTTTGGTAAAATATGCTGTATAAATTAAATAAAGTAATTATAAATTAGTTCATATTTACACATTTGGTTTGATGGTACATTTCGTGACAAATTTGTGGAATTTTATTTGTAAACATATTTTATTTAGTGTAACACAATTTTATATTAATAGTCAGCTATAAGCTACAATACTATGATTATGATTTGTCATAAATCAAGAAGCTATTTAAAAAAATATATAGATAGGTACAGACATTTGTACAGTCGTATCATTATTTCGATAAAAATAATAGCGAAAAAAAATGCTCCACTATTTTCAAGAATTAAACGATAGCTGGTACCTACTCTTTAAACTATAAAGACATTGTAAAATTAACAAACTAAAGATTTAACTA